CCTTAAAGTGCACCTATACCCAAAAATTTTTTTTCGCTTAACGAAATAAGCTTATTTTTTGGAGTATTTCTCTGCAAAAATTTCTTAATTTGCTCAAATCTTTAATTTTCTGTGCCCAGTCAAAATACGGAAAATCGGCCGCCATCTTGCCCCACGACCGAGTTTAAAGAGGAATGGCTCTAGCGGGTAATGTGACGTCAAATCGAGAACACGAAAGTCTGCATTTCACACATTTTCACTTGTTTGGGAAGGTTGTAGTCGATATTGTCCGAAAATATGCCGACTAAGTGTGTTGTAGAAGGATGTAGCAACGTGCGAAATTTGCAAGAGGGTATCGCGCTTCATACATTCCTCATACAACACACCTAGTCGGCATATTTCGGACAATATCGACGACAACCTTCCCAAACAAGTGAAAATGTGTGAAATGCAGACTTTCGTGTTCTCGATTTGACGTCACATTACCCGCTAGAGCCATTCCTCTTTAAACTCGGTCGTGGGGCAAGATGGCGGCCGATTTTCCGTATTTTGACTGGGCACAGAAAATTAAAGATTTGAGCAAATTAAGAAATTTTTGCAGAGAAATACTCCAAAAAATAAGCTTATTTCGTTAAGCGAAAAAAAATTTTTGGGTATAGGTGCACTTTAAATATAGTCTACATCAGCATATTAAGTAATTACAACTATTTGACGACTTTCTGACAAGTACATGACATTTTACAAGTATGTATGGAACATCTCAACAGCTATGCTATATTGGATTCTGGAATTGTGAATATAAAAAAGTGCAAATTTCTGTCTCACCAACATTGTAAAATTAAGTACCTGCAAAATTAAGTTCAAATGGGGAAATTAAAGTGTTACAGATGTTATCTACCTGTGACTGCCAAATTCAAATAATCGCCAATTACCAACTGTTTTATTTGTTGTATTGCTGCTGAATTTACTGGATTTGTATGATACAGACTCTGGGCTAAACGCGTAGTTTTTCATTTCTTGTACAGCATTTTAGCTCCAAAGGTTTATGAAGAGAATCTAATAGGAGAGTTACCCAAAAGCAATCCACAGGATGTACTGAGTTTTTAGTCAAGAAAATTCATATTATTCAGTCTAAAACCTTCAAATGTGGCACCATTTTCCATTTACCTTAATATAAAAGAAAAAGAAAAGAACAATTAAATCGGGCCTACCAGTTGATGAAAACTATTTTCTCTCGGCGGCCATCCTTGGTGTCTAGCTTAAAGTCAAAGAGCAAGAAGCGCGGTTCACGTTCTTCAGCCAAGAATTTTGCTTTCACTTTATCAAATTCTTCTTTATTCTTACTTTGTGGCTGATCTGTTGGAAATGGATCACCTTTCTCTTCAATGGCCACTTTCTTTTCGTCTTTGATTTTCATGATTAAATATCCATACTTCTTCTTAATTTGCATTTCATTGTAGCTTGTTACGCATTCTTCAGTTGGAGTGATACCAGACATCGACTGCAAAGAAGGAATGTTGAATATTGAGGTGTCAGTTCTTTGAAGTTTAGATATTTTTACTTATTTACACCCCCACGAGAGGGGGTGGACAAAAGACTGGCCCCCAGTCCCTGGACAACCAAGATGGACTACCCCAATGGAAAATGATGGACTACCCTTAAATGGACCAACCCTTTTAAGACTTTTGTCTTTTGTCACCCACAATAAATACCATGACAATGAGGCCATTATCTTAAACATTTAAGACCTTCCTACAAAAAATAGCTCGAGTCATGTTACCTACCTCAGTTTTAGTATTGGTCATAAACTAAGGTGAGAAATCAACAATATTAATTTTTGTGCTAAACAGACTGATGTAGATATTTGCCATGCATGCCTGCAAATCAGAGATTGATCTTCACAGTCCGCCATCTCTAGATTTAATGACACAACAGCAAGATGATATGACACATTGCTATATTGCCCTATAAAAGAGTTAACATGTTTACAAATGTGAATGAGTTGAAGCTTGAAGCAGAATAAAGATGGTTTGTCAATGAAGTGGACACAATTAGTATTAGGAGACACAAGGTAGAGAATTGAAACTAAATAGACTGCAGAAATAATGAATTGCCATTCCTTGGGCTTTTGTTGTAACTAAAAAATACTGCAGGTTAATAATGAAAACATGCAATGTAAGTTAATATACACTATTAGATAGTAGCGCTTTCCATTTTGTGGGTGTTAGTCCATTTTAGGGGAGTTTGTTTGAGTAGTCCATCAGGGGAGTCCATCAGCTAGGGTAGTCCATCGACCAGGGGTCAGTGTTTTCATTATAATAACCACTTACCATATTGGCAGAGTATTATCTTCAACTTTCAACCTTTCAATGATCTCTGAAGAAATGAAACAGACATAACTGATGGTAAAAACCTTAGGGTTTAAACATTTTTGTGGCTACTGTCTCCTATGGGGGTAATGAAAAAAATGTGTTCCTGTTGAGTGAGTGTAACAACAGAATACAAACAACCTCTTGGCCCACTACAAAGTCTGTTGAGTTTACCCGATGTTCCTTACTGTTGGCTTTTTTTTGCTACAGAACACCTTCAGTCGTTCAACCCTTAGGAATCCTGATGTTGACCTAATTTTGAACCCATGTTTCCAGGTGCTACTGACCAGTATTGTTTGTTTCAAGTTCTACAAAAGATGACAAACTCCTCATAAACATTGGAATTAACATGATAAAACTACAAAAAATCTAGCAGAAATATCTTAAAAGGCATGATTGGTGCATCAAGAAAACTTAGAGGAACATTTTCTTTTTTGAAGAGAGAGCATTTTACTGTTTGAATCGCTGATTATGCCCAAGAGATCTGAAGATTTTATTTTTTCAGTTCTTGCCATGACAGTATAAAAGATGATACGCATCTAAAGTAATTTCACAGTGGTGTCTCTGGCATTTAATTGAAAAAAAGACTTTTCCTTTCCGAAATATCAAAATAGCTTTGATCTGCACAGTGTGGAAACTTTGAAGAACAATTTTATTTATTCAAAGAGAGAACCTTTTTACCACTTCAATCAGCAACTAATAGCCAAGAGAGCTGCCAAAATGTGCAAAGGAAGAAGGTCTGAAGCTTAACAGGGACCCTGGAATAATAAGACGGTGGAAAGTAAAATACTGGCATGGTGAAATGGTGGAATATCTTATAACAATGAATGCCTTGTTGTATGAAACAAAAGTCTCACAAAAATGAGATCACAATGAAATAAGAAAATAATCTACAGTTAACAAGAAAAATTTAAAAAAGCATAGTTTAATCATCATTAGAGCCTAGAGGATACACCAATAGAAGAACATTGAGGTTCCTGAGCAAGCCTTTATAAATTATCATCACTGTTACTATTGTCATTATTATTATTATCAATATTATTATTATTGATAATATGAATATTTGTTACCATATGATTATTGGTAAAGTGTCAATTAAACACCATATTCTTGAATCATCTATCTCTTGTGGAACAGGGTACTCATAAATGTGTCAGATGTAGCAGATTTTCTGTTTTGCATACAAGATGAATCTTTTGCGACACCACCTTCTAGCAACTTTATATAAACTGATTCTTTTCGTTGCTATAAAAATTGTGCTATTTCAACAGCCATATATGCAGTCTTAAACTGCATATTTCTTATTTGCTGATGCTTTAATTTTGCTAATAATTGCAACATGACATGCATGATTTTGGTCATGTAATCAAACTAGTCATTTGAACAGAGATAATTAATGCATATGGACGCCATCAAAGGTACCATGGATCTCACAGAGCATAGCCTAACTTGATCGAAAGGTTTATGTAGAGTTTAAGCTGGGAACCATGGTCAACTCATCAATATAGAACCTTAGCTTCTTTACCCAGCTGGGATTGTCAAGTAATTACACAAATGGATAGGTACTGTAAAAAGACAAAAAAATCATCTGAAGAAAGTTATCTTATTGTGATACCAAATTATCCTTCCAAGCTATTCTGCAAAGCAATTTTGGTTTCATCAACTGAGTTGATAATGGAAATTGGCCATCATAAAAAAATACATACATACTTTATTTAACATAGAAATATGCTTAGCTAGTTTACAGGTATTCCACCTAATACCTAATGAAACCTAACAACTAACAACACTAATATCACAGCAGGTAAAATCACAAATTAAATACTGATTAAAAGTAATTTAAAACTGTTTTCACAATATTACCACCGCGATCAAAATAAAATTAAAACTAACGTTATAAATCTACTAATCCCCGAAATTTAACGATCTAATTCTGTTTACTATATCTTTTGGTGCCCGCTTTTATTCTAATGTCATTTGAGAGTTCATTCCATTTCTTGGCTGCAAAATAACTCCATGACTTGAGTCCATATTTGGTAGTGTTAACTTTAGGTAAAGATAAAACATATTCTTGGCACCTGAGATTGTACTTAAATGAAAGTACAATTCTGTACTCATGACGTTTTGAGCATTAGCCCTTCATCAGAACAAATGGAACACATTTTACATCAATGTTAATTTAAAGAGAGTCTGCATATCAGATCAAGGGACTTAAAAGTTTAACATTTGTTTCACAGTTCCAATGCTTAACCAGCATCCTTTACACGTTGAGGTGGGGGAAGGAGGGAGGGAGGGAGGGAGGATGCTTACATAAGATAATTTGTCCAAGCATGTGTTCCTTGCCGGAATTACTTAATAATAATAATAAAAATAATAATAGTAATAATAATAATAATATAATAGAGAGATATGCTTTGGAAAGAGGACTTCATCTGGCCCCAGTTGTTCAAAGGGCGGATAACGCTATCCAACGGATAAATCGCTATCCAGCGGATAAGTGTTACCAAAACGTACTGTGCTATCCACCGAATAGAGATTTATCCAGTGCATAGCGTTATCCATCCTTCGAACAACCGGGGCCTGAAGTTAAGCTACCTGTGCCCAACTGCTAACACTGTATAAGGGGAAAAGTTATCTGGAAAGAAAGATGAGGATGAAGGAGGAAGAAAGTAGGACTGAGGAAGTACACCAACAGAAATGGCAAGGAAAGTTGATTGAAGCAAGATTGGATGACGCAGATGTGATTGGCTGCTTCAGTTGGCTATGCTGCTGGAAAACTGTGCCCATGCACACAGTGGCTGGAGTTTACAAACTAAACCAACAGCTACTCCCCACTAAGATTTACCAACAGTACAAGACAAAGACAAGCAACAACACAGACGTCAAGTGTCATATGTGCAGAAAAGCTGTGGAGAGCATCCCCCATGTTTTGAGTGGATGTGGCCCACTAGCGCAGAGTAAGTACAAGACGAGGCACAAAGCAGCCCTCAAAGTTCTATTCTTTGATCTGCTCTGTGATATGGCCTAAGAGAAAGTGTGCCATCTTGGTGCTTGCCTGAAACACCAAAGCCAGAGTACAAGAATGATTGAGCCAGCACCTTCTGAGATGTGCAAGTGTATGCAGAGAAGACGGAAGTAAGAGAAATTGGATCGATGCAAGAGTTGTGGATATGCAGAAGAAGGTGCTACTACTAGAGATGGTGCTACTACTAGAGATTTTTCAGGTCTGATTTTCCCTATTGCATAAATAGTGCTCTCTACTGCGAGGATCGTGCATTATACCTATCTATAACCGCAGTTCAAAATATATGAACTTCATACATTCATCGTATCTGATTTATCATCACGGGTTTATTACGAATCAACTTAACGGCCTGCTCCCAGTTGGCTTGTTAGCTCAATTGGTAGAGCGCTGCACTAGTATCGCAGAGGTCAGTGGTTCGAATCCCGTACAGGCCTGATTTTTTTCAGGTCTGATTTTCGTTATTGCATAAATAGCGCTCTCTACTGCGAGGATCATGCATTATAGGTATCTATCACCGCAGTTCAAAATATATGAACTTCATATATTCATTGTATCAACTAGAGATGAGTTGCCCGTGGATGGCAAGCAGGAAACAGAAGGAAGAGGAAACCTTGAAGTATGCACTACTTTGATGGGAGATGCATCAGCAGTACTTGCCATAAGATTGCACAGCACAACATCATCATCGATGTGCTCGAGGGCATATCAAGAGAGACACTAGATATGTATTAAGAACTTGTGTCAGGGCAGATATTAAGATCTTGCTGGATATGCAAAAGGAATTCATCTCAAGTATCCTTAACATTGCACGGAGTTTCAAAGTTCTAACTGCGTAGGACCTATGAACTGGCCAAACTTTTACCCACACAATTCACATCTTTTTGGGTTTCTCATTCCATTTGAAAATGTCTTTAACTTACTAATTATTTTAGGCTATGGTAATGACAAGCTACGTGATTGCGCCTTGTCAATATCTCATTTAAGGAGGCATCCTTACGTCTTACTGTCCATTATAATAATTTACATTTCTAAAGCCCTAAAATTTTAAAAATTTTCTAAAGAGCTTTGCAAAATATTCGATAAAAATATTAAAACGATTAAATGATAAAATTTGAAAAATATTAAAATCTTAAAATGTTAAAACAAATTGTAAGCCAGCTTGAACAGATGACTTGTGTCTTAAGCTTGGACTTAAAAAAGAGAGATGAAAAAATACGGAACCCTACTCCATGGAGTACCCTAAGGAGTACCTACATGGAATACCCACAGGGAGTACCCCTAAAAGTCATGTATCGGTCAGATAAAATAGTAAATATAAACATGGTAAATTATTTAGTTGTACATATGTTGATGTATTTTGATCTTGCCAGCTGTATGATTGTCACAGTTCAATACACTGTCCACGAATTGACCGCCATCTTGAATTTAACAATAAACTGCTGGCAACTTCAAACTGAAGGCTTAAATGTGGTCCGTAAATGTTTTCTTTGATGGACCAATTACTATCTTCATCTTATGATCTTCACAAGGCCAAAAGCACGGACTACTTCATTTGGCAGCGGGTTTTACGTCTTTCAAAATACCTATTTATGTAGGGTGTCTGTAAGAGGTGTGGCGTTTAATCTATCAAAACAGGGCCTCGTGGGTTCATAATTGTGTGCTTGCGATGAGGATAAAAGCTAGGACTTAAAAAAAAGGAATTCATGTGTTTGAACTGACCTTCTCTTCACCCATCTATTTGTAGTGTAACAAAATTGAGATGCATAATGAAATGAAACTCATTGCACAGCGATAAAAACCAAAATGGAGGGTTACCTGCAGCAAGACTGAAAGCCCCCTGCCCCCCCACCAAGAACTGGACTGTATTGAACTGTAACGATCGGAGAGCTGGAAAACTCAAAATGATATATACTTCTACATGATTTACCCTGTTCTTTAACTATTTTGTTTGACCGATACATGATTTTTTGGGGTACTCCTTTTTAGTACTCCACAGTGTACTCCATGGAGTGGGGCTCTGCATTTTGTCATCTCCCATGGCTACACTGTGACTGTTTTGAATTTCAAGGAGCAGTTTGTTCCACATGTGTAAGGTCATGATGCTGTACAATAATGACAATAACACATGCACTACCCATTCCAGTCTACCCAGAGCTCAGTTTTACACCAAAATAAGTTTGGTTGTCGAGACTAAATCAGAGTTTCATCTTAGAGTTAAATCCAATTTCTCTGGTGGAACAAATAAGCTGAATGCACATCAGTATCAATTTTTCTGCCCTTACTTTTCTGCTAGATAACAAAGGGAACAGAGATAAACTTGCATTGATATAACAGCCATTCCAATATCCTGTCAATATCCTTACAAGTACACTTAGTTTGTCCAGAGTTTGGTTTGTCTTTGAAGTGTATGATTTTGATTAAAAGCCTGCTTCTCTGTGTTTGTATAGCCTGAGAAAAGCAGCTGTCCTTTCGCTCCCTTTGTTCACCTGCGAAAGAAACGGGGAAACAAAGGGAGCAAAAGGACGGCTGCTTTTCTCAGGCTATGTTTGTATTGCTACATGCAAACAAAACGTTATCTGTGTGGAAACTCTAAATGCAAAAGATATCCTAATGAAGAGCCCTTGTGTTGTCCTAAACCATACCCACAAAGAATATATGGCCATTACCGTTGAAAACGTACATTAGGAATGTTAATTAACAATTAGTCCATGAGTGTGCATTGGATATGAGATGATAGATAGCCAATGAGGCACGTAGCGCTGAGTTGGCTATAATCACCTCATATCCAACAAGTGCGAGTGGAATATTGCTTTATTAAAAATGTTAAATTAAATTATTAAATTTTATCAAAGTTTTTGGCTCCCTTTTAATTTTAAGCTGATTCATACACTTACCATATTTGTAGATTATGGTATATTGGCAGATATAGCATAATGGCTAAATCAATAAAAAGTCTTGAATTGCATTATCCAATGATCCAGTTATTAATAAAGCTAAATTATTATGAGATGTCTCGCTGAATATGACATCATGTTTTTCATGATGAACATTCTCGACTCAGATGATAACAGGAATCATTATTTTTCTAAAACCTTTAAGTGATGCTAACTCCATGATCCAAACGATTTTTATGCTGCTCTGCACAATCACCTGGTCATGCAAAGGTTACTTCGCAACATAAACCTGCCCGTGTCAAGTCTTTTCGTAAACATCCTGTGTAAGAAATCATGTGGAAATTGCTACTTGATCTAACAGAAATCGCACTTTACGATTTCCAGCATTGAACAGACACTTTTAAGGCTCTCAGAGATAGAAGAAAAGTTCATTGATTCTTAGTAACCTAGTTTACGATTACTTTTTTGTCGTGCATGTTGCGAAGTCTGCTTCTATTAGCTGTCATGTCATGGGCTGTTCAGAGTGAAAACGAATTCCGACTATTCGCATCCCCCTACGGCTAAAAGCGCTCAAGGCTACTGGTTTTTCAGTGCAACACACCACAAAAAGTTACGAAAATAATGCCTCGATTCCAACAGAATAAAACAGAGATCGATTCTCCAAAGGCTTCGCATTGTAAGAATGTTCTTAACGCTTCAGTGAATGTTTCAACGCTTCGGTGATTGTCATTCAATTTGATAGTTACCCGTTCTAGTTAAAAATGGACTGTTAGAACACTTCCTAGCAACAAAAAACTTTAAGAATTCTCACCTTATTTGGATTCTTAAGCCGGTTAAGACTGACAATCAACAAGAGCTCCGCGCCACGGTAAAGAGGTTGCGAGAGCAGTCTCGTTGCGAAAGAACGATTAACTGGCAGAGGTTCAATGACAATCATGGGCAATGTACCGGAACACATCCAATCGAAAATTTAAATTTTGGACTGGACTCTTGAAACGAAGGACTCACTACTGCATCCCTTAATTTTTTTTTTTATCAATTAAACAACCCTAATGTGAAATTCAGACTAAACCCCGTCGATGAGGCGTTTAACAGTAATTCTGGACTCAATGGTTATAGGAAATCTGTCTGTAATAGAAGTTTTGTGCCTAAATACCACCTGCCAAAGATTTGACCAAGGAATACTAGGGATGAAAGGACCATGATAAGAAGAATAACTCAGTTATAATCAGTTAGTGAACCTCTTTTTTTAATAAAGAGCCCCAAGGCACAAATGGCCGTGGAAGAGAGGTTTCCAAGCATAATTTTAACAGCAGTCTTAAGCAGACATAAGTTTGTATCCATTTGGTCTTCAAGTACTGCATCTGTTTTTTTTTGTTTTTGTTTTCTTTTATCATTAACACTGGCAAGGAGAGAAATGATATTAAGTAAACCCTTTATGGGAATTCTCTAACTTTACTACACATAGAAGCTTTTATTCTCTTTCCTGAGAATAGTTTCTAGTCCAAACATGAATGTAGCCTTATAATTAGTTCATAAAGGGTTAATTTGACCTTTTCATTAGATATCATTTCTTCCCCTTGCCACCAGAAACTAACGGCATTCCTTTATCTTTGCCACGAAGCTTGACACCTGAAAAAAAAGGAAAAAAAAATTGCATTTAGCACTGGAGACACTGAGCTTCATTGACAACTAAAGATTTTACACTTTAAGTTCAAATGACTTGCATTTGCCAGAGACTATTACTCCTTCTGTAATCACCTACCATGACTTTGCTGTGGTAAAGTTTTTCCCTTGGTGTTAAATTTAACAAACCAGTTTTACTTTTAATAAATATATCTTATTAGACATTTTGTGTAGTATTGCTGATTGTTTTTATGAGTCTTGCCATATTTTGACAAGCCTGTAGGGCAAAGTCAAAATACAAACAACGAATAAAAATACATATCTTTTATTAGACATTTTGTTGTGTAGTATCGCTGAGTATATTTATGAGTTGTGCCATATTTTGATGAGCCCGTAGGGTGAGTCAAAACACCAACAACAAGTAAAAATACTCAGTGATACTACACAATGAAGCATCTAATAAGAGATTTATTATCCAACATGCCAAATTGTTATTTCAGTGCAGGTGAATTTTGCAGATATTTATTTACAGGGAGTGCGTGACAAAGTATGCAAATTGGAGTGGAATTGGCCTGTTTTCTTGTTGCTGTTTCTATTTTCTTCAAGAAATTTCTTAGTCAACTAGATGTTTTTCTTTGTTTGATTCATCTAATAGACTTGGATCTATATTTGCCAGACATTCTGACTTTTTGTCGTCAGAAATATAATTAAAATTGTGTGCCACTTTTTTTTTCACAAATTCAATCCAATTCTTTGCTGGTGCAGTGCGAGAAAATCTGTCCTACTGGTTCTCTGGAGTACAAATACCGCATGATATTTGTACTCATCTATGGCGTTATTTGTACTTTACAGAATGTGGTTGGATTATCATAATAATTAGCAATACTATAAAACAAAACGTTTAATAAGAGATTTATTATCCAACATGCCAAATTGTAATTTCAGTGCAGGTGAATTACACATATATTTCTGGAGTGCAAAGATCGCATGATATTTGTGGTAAGTTTCTAAAGAAACTATGGTGCTTTGTTGGTGGGGGGGGGGAGGGGGTATAAAAGATAACTTTGTTTTAACAAATGAATTAATAATTGTAAATTGGCCTTAGTAAAGAGTTTTGAGAGCAGAAACTTCTAGAGTTAGCTCTTCATCAGAGTGCACCAGTTTTAATTTTGCCATCCTAAATTTCAGATGATGTTAGACATAATACAATACTTTAATACAAAACTCATAGAGTTTCAGTTTTCAACATTTCAAATGTAATTTTTTCCACGGACCTAGCATTCCATCAAAATGTATGTTCATAGAGCTAAAAGTCACACAAGTCACAGAAAGTAATTATGTGACATGCTGAATTACACACACACATTTTAATTGGTTCTTACCCATGATCTGTTGGAGGATGGATGCATAGAAGATGTCATCATTAACAATAGGGAACAAATACATTCAAATGTGTTAAGAATGTCACTGACACATTTGCCTTGTGTGCTACTCTTTTGTACTAATTAACACATTTTGAGGTCATCATTTATTTATTAATGAACAGATGCATGGCAACATGAAATCTAAAATAAATCTATAAATAAGCTTTGACCATGACAAATTTCACAAAATTTAAAACACAGTGACACATATCATTTAATTTGTTCACTCACCCAATGCTCGTTCAATTTTACCCATCACTTGATTGTTAGGAATTGCTTTACCAGACTCGTAGTCCATAATGACTTGAGGCTTCTCATTGATTTTCTATAATGGAAAAAAAAATTATTTATTAAGTCCAAAATAACAAAATTGCTTGCAGTTTCCATAGCTTGCTCTTACTGTTGCTAAGTCCTTCTGTGTTAGTTTCTTCTCCATTCTTGATTGCTGAATGAGTTTTCCAACATCAAGGGAAACTTTTTCATCTGCAAGACAATCTGGGTATCAGACTCTAATGTCAAACTCAAACACACAATAACTGCAGAAAGATTTCGCTGGTTGCATGGCATAAGTTCAGGAAACCAAAAGCGTTGTTGTTGTGCGGGTGATGCAATGATTGCAAACACACATCTCATCCACAATTCACTTGAACAGACACAAAGTTTCAAGGAATTCCCAAATGCAGGTACTGGTACATGTATCACAAAACAGCAAAATGCTTTTGAAGGGATCAAACATCTATGTAGGAATAAGGGAAAGTTGCCAAATGGTCCCCATCACCAGACCTTCCTGGAAGTTTTGCTACCTACCCTGGATGCAATGAAAGTCAATCATAGTGCCCCCCCCCCCCAGCCCACATGTACAAAATTGATTGTAATCATAGAACTGCAGATTTTTCTGACTGCTTGCCACTATTGGCAATAAGAATCCACAGTGACCAAACCGAGGCCTGCATGCCAACCTCAAGATCCAGAATCCAGTTCCCTTACCAGTGCTCAAATTTCAGAGCTTTATCATGACAAAAACATTTTATTCTAAGAAAATGAGAAAGATAAAACCCTAACACTTGTTACAACTCTATTTTCCAGACTGTCTACACATGATTTCCAGAGTACAACTTACGATGTAGCTCCTCTGTCTCTCGGTCCAGTTTAGCAGAATCCTTGTTTGCGGAATGCTGCTTGTTTGAAGCAGCACCATCTGTATTAACGATAAAAATTAATTACAACTTCATGCAAACTTCAAAGGAAAGCCGTTCTGAGCTAGAACAACAATGTCCTAAAACTGTCTATGAATACCTGAAACAGTGCTATTCTTTAAGTGACAAAGAATCCTTCTATATATATATCTTGATAAAAAGTGACACACACCATGCTGCAACTCATTCCGATCTCCTCAGCATTACGCAGCTAGGAATATTGCTGCTCCCCTTATATGTGGCATTAGTCCATCAAAGCTTTCCCCTGACACTTTGTGATGCTTACCAGACAGTTTTACCTGTACTGAGGAGAGTACAGTGTCTTCCAAAGAAGACAACAAAATACCAGGCTAATTATTGACCCTTGACTAAGAGTTGCACAAGTTTACTGTCAGACCATAGGTCAGCCTTTTTAACAACATTTGCTCTGATGAAGGGCTAATGCTTCAAATATCAGCTTTGAAAATCTTTACACTGGCCAACTCACAATATCAACTCAATCGATAACACCAAATATTACCTTGTTATACTCCCCCACTGATGCAGCACCACAGTTTTTTCAGAAATTTACCCCCTTTGTTTATAACAACATAGTGCGATATAATATTTACCTTTAGGTTAGAGTTTTTAATATTCTTTTAGAGCTAAAATGACTGCTTTTAAATGAAATTTATGACGATAAAGAGTGAAGTAATTCTGAGTTGATTCCATCATGATGTTGCTAATCTTATCTAAAAATAAAACTAGTTAAATGCTCATCTTACATTTTTGCGATGTTTCCACATGGCCACCATGTCTTTGTGCTTGTGAGACAGCCTTGATGAAGGCACCAAAGAAAAAAAAATTTTTTTTTTAAATAACTATTTGATTATTGGTAAATCTAGCAACTTTCAAAGAGCCTTCTATAAGTGTCTACTTGAAGATTCATTTCTTTCTGCCACAAATGATTTTGATTTTTTTATCGTTAAGAAAATATATCAGATTTCCTCTTTCACATTGTAAATAATTTTCAGATGTGCTGCAAATCATAAGCCAAGTAGGATTAGGTTAATTATACAAATGATTTTTTTTCAAGAGGGACTGACATGAGTGCAAATACTTTGGGAGCTTTCAGCTCAACTTTTTTTTTTTATAGAAATTAATAAAAAGTTGAGGGTTCTGACACGTGCTTGAAATCTATTACTGCAGAGAGGTTAAGAATTCTTTCATACACAATTATTTATATGATCGTATAACACAACTCATAGATATTAATCACTTCAATATGGCAACAAGTTCTACATCAGGGATTCCAAAATCAAAACCTGTGGGGTAACACACAATCGGATGGCACTTATAGGACAGTGCCACACCACAATCTAGATTGGTGAAAGCTGTTGCACGCTCACTCAACGGTTTACAGTCCCGTTTTCTTTGTCTAGGCTGTAAGTTTAACATCATTGTGTCATACTCTATGAAGTAAATGACTACGCAAATTCTCAGACAAATATAATGATGACTACTTCTTATGTAAGCTTGCTTACTTGATCCAAATCTTCCATTCTTTCACTCTTCTGCTTCATCATGTATGTACAATGACAATATAATAAATACCTGTTTAGATTTCAATTCTGCCGCTCTTGGTGCTTTCTTTCGTAGGTAAGTAACTGAGTCCCAGTCGGATTCTGCCATTTCTACTCTGTCGAGTATTGCTGTAGAAAATTGTAAAGATCTGGCTGACTAACGAGTTCCCTTATTAAGTGAAATCGACCAAAACAAGTTGAGTAAAAGTAAGCATGCGTTGTCGCAAAACGCTGGCTGATATATAGCGGGCTCGCATGTTTCATCCTCCACGCGACTATTGCAACAGACTCGGCAACAGTGGATTGAAAAAAATGTCTACTTCCTTTTCATGAATTATGATTATCAATCGAAAAGTATTCATTAAAATCCAAATGCACAACCTTTAACTTTTAATTAAAATTTTGTTGGCATTTGTTTTGTGGACCCTGGGAACGAGGTTACGTTGAGGTTTCTCATAGAAAGGCCTGGGTTCTCAAACCAACATGGCGACGTTGCTAACTTAGTCATCTTATAAAACCTTTTTCTCAAATTATCTTCCCATATAACTTGACCCAATGGGTAAGTCAACGGAAGAGAAACTTTTCTACTACGTAATGACGGGGAAACTTCATCGTGTGCGATCTCTTTTCAAGAAATACGAAGCTTCATATTTAATTGCCCTAGTCGATCGTAGACGCCGAACAGCTCTGCACGCTTGTTGTCTTCTTGGAGATGATGCAATAATGAGACTTTTGTTGAAGAAAGGAGCAGATGTACGAACTACAGACAGTGATGGTAATACACCTATTCATTTAGCTTTGAAATTCGCTATTCAAACGGTTCGATTCTCGACATACACTGATCTCATTGTACCATTACTCAACCGCTGTGACAATCCCCATGTTCTTGACGAATTAAACAACGAGGGAAAAACTCCCAGAGGGTACCTTGCCGATTTGAAAAGGGTATATGCCCAGAGAAGGGAAGAACTGGAGACTGAAAGGAAAGAGCGATGGCAGAAAGAGCAAGAGGAGAAGTTAAGATTGAAGGAAGATCTTGAGTGGGAAAGAAAACTACAGTTTGAAGAAAGCCAAGAAAGTTACAGTCATTATCGCCAGGATGATTACCTTGAAAACACACAGGAAACTTATGATGAGTGGGCTGATAGAATTACGTACGAAAGAAGACAAAAAACGGAAGCGAAGAAGCAACGGAAACGAGAGACAAGAAAGTCAAGTCGGCAACAAAATGAAAACGAACAGAAGGCGAGAGAAAGAACTAAACAACTTGAGAAGGAACACGAAGCTTACTTATCACGGATGTCCGTAGAACGTCAGAAATTGAAACTTTCAAAATCATTAGCAGATTATGAATCCAACTGCATAGCAGTATTCTGCAGTAATTCGACATTAAACCTCACCTTCGTCGAGATACCGTGGCCCACAAAGGGTGATACCAAAGCCATGATTACCCTTTTGAGAAATTGGTCAGAATTGAAAACGATAGAAGAAAAAAGAAAGTTTTTGAAAGAACAGCAAGTAAGATGGCATCCTGACAAATTTCTCCAAAGATGCGGTAACAGGCTTGATTCACTTGACAGAGTTAAAATAATTGAGCAAGTAAATGAACTTTCCAAAGAGATAAATGCTATGGTAGAGGTTGAATAATAATGGAAGCTACAGATGTAAATATGGTCAATAAAAATGATTTCAGAAACTGAGTTAATATTGTTTACTCCAACTTCCTCTCAAGTTGTGGTGCTTGGCTTATTGAGCCAGTATCAAGAGTGCATTAGTAATATGAGATTACCTTAGTGGCTTACAGGGTGATGCAATAAAGAATAATTAACAACTGTTATCTGAAGTGGAAAGGTTACTTTCCAGGACTAGCCTCTTACACCTAAGTGAATAGTTGTTTTAGTGTTACCTCATTAAAACAGTGAGATAATGTGGCACAAGATGTTTTTAACTAATTTATTCTTGCAAAAAATACAATATCTAAGCACACAAATTCCACACAAGTTGCCTGGAGGTGATCATCCTCGGAGACCCAGGGGCTGAGTGGATTTCAAGTTAGGGCATGAAGAGCCCCTGGGGACATTTTCTTACAAGACTAGTTCCAAACGGTCGCAGTCGTTCTGCCATCTGATTGGTGCCAGAAAATCTTTGTGTTTTTCTGCCCAATCAGAGTGAAGTGTGCTTTAGAGTCCTTTCGTGTGTTTTAACACGGACATATACTTGTAGCGCAGTTGCTTACCATGTTTGGTTGGACCGTGCGACAGAGATTTTCTTGTGAAAAGTTTCAGTCTCGGTACACAACGTAAGAGAAATCGATCAGAATGTCCGCGAAAATCTTACCGGAAAATTATACTGAATACTTTCGCAGGTATCACTAGAGAACGTGTTTTAAAGTTTGCGAGGTTTGTATACCACACGATGGTTGCAGTCATTGATATGTCGCTTTAAACGATAAACGAGATTTAAGCTTAAATCTTTCTAGATTTTTTGCATAATTTGCTGTGACTGAAACTTTGCCAATCTCGTGAAGTTATTTCCTCGCACGGGCCACGCAGGTATGTCGAGCAACTGGTACTTGCGAAACGTTCTGTGCATGCCAAACTCTAATCTCATCTTCGCTCGAAAAAAAAGAAAAGCTAAGCGTGGAAATATTTGCTTATTAGATGTGGGTAGATGACCCTGTACTACTAAGCTGACATTTGCAATAAAGCAAACCCGCCCTTTCCATCCAATATTTCTTGGTCTTTGGTTTTGTTTTTCCCACTGAAAACAGCATCGGATCGATTCCCAATGATCAAAGGTATTTAACTTGGTCTTCAGCAATCGACAGACTGAGGTGAAATGACAATGACCGAGGGACTAGAAGAGAATCCGTGGCCTTCCTAGCTCAAGAATTTCAACACTCTAGACAGCAGTTGAAAGATTAAACTCTTTCCAAACCCCTTCGGTAACTGCCCGAAAACATCTCTCCTTCCCACGATGTTCTCGTTAATAAGTTTTTGTTCAGATTTTAATTAGCAAACCGGAAACACAGCTAAGCTTTCTCTTAGCACTTGCTGGAGGTCGTCCACGAACTTAACGTTCTCTGCAACCTTGGCCGTATTGTGAATGACTTTACTACTAAGATTAGATTTTGGCGCGCAGAGAAAGCAGAAAGCTACGTAGGCGAAAGCGCCAGTTGCTCGACATACCTGCGTGGCCCGTGCGACGAAATAACTTCTAGTGATACCTGCGAAAGTATTCACTATAACTTCCGATAAGATTTTCGCGGACAATCTGATCGATTTCTCTTACTTTGTGTGCCGAGACTGAAACTTTTCATCTCAAGCAAATCTCTGTCGCACGGTCCAAACAAACGTGGCGAGCAACTCTACTAGTATATGTCCGTGTTAAAACACACGAAAGGACTCTAAAGCACACTTCACTCTGATTGGGCAGAAAAACAAAGACTTTCTGGCACCAATCAGATGGCAGAGCCACTGCGACCGTTTGGAACTAGTCTTGTAAGACAATGTCCCCAGGGGCTCTTCATGCCCTAACTTGAAATCCACTCAGCCCCTGGGTCTCCGAGGATGGGAGGTGATTAGCAAAGGATATAAAGAGTTTGAGTTGCCAATCAGTGGTACTTTCACCATATTCACAGTTTTAGTCTATATGAATATCAGAGACATAGTGAGATGCAAAGAGTGGTATCAGTGTGACAGAAGAAACTCAACATACACCCTTGCCAATGTTACAACATGGCTTTTGCACTGTCAGAAAAGACTGCCATAGAAGGAACTATAGAGGTATGATAGGGCTAAGCTACTGGTCAAAAGGGCTGAACAAATGCCCAGACAAGGAATTTGGCAGGGATTTTTCAGGAGTAAAACTCCCTTGCATTTTTCTTTTCCCTCCATTAATGTACATCCCCTGAGGTAGGAGGAAAGTGTCCTTGTTTTTCCCTTGCTTGCCCTCTTTTTTTTCTCTTTGTTTTTTTTCAAACATCCCCACACTGACCACCTAAACAGTGTATGCTACAAGGAAAGGCATCCCTCACATTTTAGTCTTGAAAATTCATGAAAATATTTTGTTTGCTACTACTGTAAAGACTACTACAGTGGGGACAATTGAAAAGGGTGTTGGGGATGGATTTCCCTGTTGGAACTATTTCAGCCCCCCTCTCCCCACCCCTCACACCCCAAAATCAGATTAAAAAAAAATCACAAGAAGACTTGGAACAAAACACATAAACATGTCAATAATGATTTAATTCATTATTTAACAACTGTACAGTTCCACCATGGATCAAACATTCAACAGAGAAACAAATAGGTAACTCTCTCCCAAGTTCTAAATATCAATTATTTGCTTTGTCTGCCGTACATTTTTTACAATTTTAGCTCTAGGAAGTTGGTAATAACTCTAATGATATACCAAGGAATTTTTTTTTCCTTCTGTCATGACCTGTCTGGCTGAGAGCATAACTACTTCTTGGTCATTCCCAGGAGGGAAAGGATTAAGATGGCCAGGAACAAGATCAAAAATTTTTTTCCTTAAATTGACATTTGCTGTGAGCAGTATTAGATCAATAGAACATCTAGCCCAGAGATGGGTTAACAAGAAAATTCCAGTTAATCTAAGTCTGGTTAATAGACAGTAGAATCTTAACACTAAATGCTTGAAACAAATCTTTTGAAAATTATCAGAAGCAATTTCTTGAGAAAGTTTATCTTAAGATAGGAGTGTGAGAATAATCAACCTTTAATCACGAAAGGTGTCATGAAAAAGGTTTAAGTCATGTTGCATGTTTCAGGTGTTAAGTTAGTTAACGGGAACATCCACTCTTAACATATAGTGCTCAAAATGTTCCAAATGTACTCCTAAATAGATCTGGCACATTAACCAGAATTTTGTTCAGATGACAGCAATTAAGCATCAACAAGAGTCAAAAACCATACTGCGTGCACCAAGCAACCATTACAGGTTACCAAGCAACCATTGCAGGTTACCAGCCCAAAGTGCATTGTGCACTATTCTAGATGGTGGCTGCTGGAAATTCAAAGTTGTTGCTAGAACCTTGTTTGGAAAACAATAAAAAATCAGATTGCCTGGTAAGGCAATTTTTTTTATGCCGGATCTATTGAGACGTACATTTGGAACTTAACATGTACACTGTAGCACATTATAACACAACCAAAGTAAAGCGTGCGCTCTGATTGGTCCATTTAACGTCCCCCATTTGCCCATGGGTGTACGCTGCTGACGTGAGCAAATGCAAAGACTATTTTTCCGTGCGCGCTTGTTTTTTTCTGGTCACGTAAGATTTGTTAAATAAAAGGGAACTCTTTAGCTACAATGTATCAATGTTATGTTATAAAACAAATGGTAAACACCACAGCGTACACTATTGAGTTATGGATGCACTTGGGAGGTTTGCTAAGCACTCAAGAAGCTAGAGTTGCTCTCGGCTATCGCCTTGAGCGACTCTTACGCTTCTTTTGCGCTTAGCAACCTCCCACGTGCATCCATAACTCAATAGTGTACGCTGTGGTGTTTACCATTTGTTAAATAGTGAACAGTACTACAGCAGCAGAGGAGGGAGAGAAAAACGTAGGTTTGGGTCATGTGATGAACTCTGCCCGACCAAAACAAACCTCTCCTGTTTTTTCACTCCTCCACTTTTGTCCTTAGGTCCTGCTGTTTGCTTTTTTGCTCCTGTTTACCACTCAAACACCTGGAACACAGTATTATTGCTGGAATATCAGCTTCACTTCAAATGTCTAATTCAAGGGATTCACACTACAACTTGTCAAATTGAAGGTTGCATGATACTTCAAAAAATAACAAGCACATAATTATATAAATAAACCTACTTTAGAACAGAACAACACAATAAAATGTACAGTCATGCAAATAGTGTTATTTCTAACCAATTGTGCTCATTACAAACACAAACTTTTTTTGTGTCCAAAGCCAAACTAGAGAGTGTGTATGTGGATTCTTTTTAATACCTAATAAATGACAAGTGCAGTATCTGAAGTTCACTTTAATCATTCTTGTTATAAAATCAAGCAATAAAATAAACTAAGGTTACTCTCCTATCAGACAAATTGAAAGTAATGTGTAGTGTGACATGTATTGTGTACATGTTAACATAATGAACAAAAACAACCATCACACTTCAGCCTAACGCTCAGGGAACATGTCACAATTGATTCTCTGTCTGGCCTTTTCCTTGCAGTGCTTCTTGTGAGAAGGCCAATCTCTCTGAAGAAATAAAACACAAGGATTGACCATCCTCAGGATAAGTTCATGATTTCATATTTGAATTAGGTTAGGGTATCATCATCAGATTAACTCTTTAGCACCCACAATCTGATGGTTAATTCTCCTGCTAGCTGCTACACATTTCCTTTCCATTAGTTAGTGAGAGAATTTGGTGTTAGATCAAGGAAATAACTTTTATCTGATTAGTTTGTGAGTACCCTTCTCACCTGTTTGCTGAAATATTATGGGGAAAACTTGCATGTTCATCACTCTTGGGAGTTTAAGGCCTTGGTTCTCTTGAGAGATCCCCAAAAAAACTGGTCTTAATTTGAGGAGAGATCAGAGATGCCAATTTTGGAAAATGGAAATCTGGAAATGCTTGACTTTGGAACCCCCTCCCTTCCCTCCCTTCCCTCCCTCCCTTCCCTTCCCAGTTAATTCAAAACTGACAACTTTGTGCCACTCTCTCCTCACAAACTAAAATTTGCCACAGGATATCCAAAACTTGAAAACAGAAAACCCAATAATCTTTTTTTTAATCAACAATATTTACTTCCTTTGCACTCTGTAAGACAGTGTATATACCTAAAATTTTAAACTGATACTGTTTAATTTTTTTTTTCTGTAAACGGACCTACCTCTTGACAAAGAGGTCCACAGTATCTGACCTGCTGGCATTGTCCACAAATGCTGAACTCTCGTAGCTACAACCAAAGAATACACCTGACTTTCAATGAAATAATCATACACTCAGTGCCAAAATAAGCAAGAAACATTGGAAGAACAATCTTGAGTTTTGTGTCTTTATGGCTCAACAATGCAAGTGCAAATTGGATCTTAGCATACAACCTTCAAACTTAATTAAAACATATAATTAGTTTCCATATTTACATAATACAGTTAACCCCATAACCCAATACAAGTGACTGCCTTCTAATTTCTCTTTACAGTTTCACCCTTGAGTCAAATGTAAAGGTCATGAGAATAATGAAAATGATCACCAATCTAAGAAGCTCCTGATCATCAAACAAATTCTCCTTGTTATTACCACAGGAAATGTAAAGAGATCAGTGTGAAGAATATGAATGTTAATGTTACTATGTCCAGAACTAAGCTGGGAGAAAATTTTCAGGGGGCTACTGAGCTACTTGGCACTTTAAAAATGGGTACGTACTTTCAAACAGGGTATGGTTTACAAAGTCCTGGGTCTAAAAAAGGGAATAGTTTTCCTCTGTCAATAATAGCACTCTTTATTCAAATACCTTTTGAGAAGTCATATCACAGTCATCTTGTTAATAGCCATGTTACTAAGAGGATGATGTGGCGATTGTGGAGAGGTGGCCACAGAAAGAAAGTAAGGTTGTATAAAAAACAAGAAAAGTGACAAACTCCTTGCTCATGTACCAAATTAAAACTAATTGTCATTTTAAGCTGATTAGCAGGAAGGCCAGCCAGCTGACAAGAGATGTCCAGTCAGTACTTTCTTTTAATTAGCAACTAGATACTGAACTTTAAGTTTGATGATCAACTAATCAAGAGTTGAGACTGACCTCAGTTTCCATTTTACAACAGGGGGGGTAATGGCACTCGTAAAAGGACAAGGTGTCATCTAGAAGAAAGATAAGAAAATTAAGGAGAGTTTAAAAAATTTAATGATTCCATGATGTAATACACAATATACTTTCCACTCCCTTTTAAAAGTAGTACATCTGCAATATTCTCAATGCAATATCAGAAAATAAAACAAAAATGTGTGACAATAGCTGAGAAGTGAAAAATGCAGGTGATTATCCAAGCTGACCCAAACCTCCCTTGCTTTTCCACTTCAACATTACTATTGCAGTGTTAACTATTTCATTCTGTTTGAGTGATCATCAGTCAAGGAAAATAATTGATCAGAACACACAATAATGTGAATCAAAATACAAGAAAGCCAACAGCATTAACTTTAGAAAAAACTCTGCAGATCTAGAGACAGACATTGTTAAAAAAAAAAAAAAAAAAAAAAAAAAAAAAGAGGCAAAACCAGTGTCACTGATCATCTGAACATTGTAGATTAAACAAGTTTTAAATTTCTCACCTTCTTCTATTACTTGTTCCCCATTTGCATTATAACACTTGTAGTTTAAATTCATAAAATGCTGTGAATTCAACAGAAGAAAAGCCATGTCAAAAGTTAGTAAGACATCAGGAACTGTACTCAACCAGCATGTCAGCAGGTCATCCAAACATTATCCTGTCTGCCCCTCCCATGCAGTCAGTAGTACATGTCATGGTGCACTATTTGACATGCAGACATCAATAAATTATGATCCTCATTTTACTTCTCATCAAGTTAATGAATGTGTCTTTTACACTATGTGATTAAACCTAAAGTATTCCCTGGCAAGCCATACAAAAGAAAAAGGCTGAGCACTCCCTTAACCTGTGGATAAACCCCACATGGCTATGGCTCTAATTGCAAATAATTCTATTGGTCCTGATCTTATGCTTGGAGCAGCTACACTCAACATCTTTAGATAATTAAGCTCTTTTGCTGACTGTCTTCAATCAATGTTTTCCCATCTATACATTTACACCTCCATTAACCAATTGATGCTTAAGTGTGACTAGGATCTAATTTTCCCTAACAATATCACCTCTGAATCACACATTCAATGTGTGATTCAGAGGTGATATTGTTAGGGAAAATTAGATCCTAGTCTCACAGGGCTTAAAATTAACTTTTTTTTCCAGTAGCCACTTGGCTCCTAAATATTTTAAAGTGGTAGCCAATTCCAAAAAGTTGGTGGCCATTATGACACACACACGCAAGATTTTTTTTTGCCCTGTCACTATACTAGATAGGTTATCATATCATAGTGATACTGTCATACAAACATCAAAAATGAGCCTGCTAAATTTGCACGAGCTACAAAGAGGACACTAGAGATGGCGTCTAGTTTGACATCGTGCACGTGCTGCATTTTGGAAACGAGCTTAACGAGGAACTTTGCTGCAGATTTATCTTTGCAAATCTTCAACAATCACTAGATCTCTAGGTAAGGTGTGATTAGAAATTTTAGTTGCCAATTTGGCCACTAATTTTCAGGATTTGGTCGCCAAAGTGAAAAATTTAGTCACATTGGCGCCTGTATTAGGTGCAATTTTGCACCCTGCATTAAGGTCAGGAGAATAAAGGAAATGATAATTAACTAAAGAATTTCTTGATTGTTTAAAACAAATGATCCTTGTCATTACCTTAAGAAATGTACAAAAAACAGTCTGGCAAATATGCATACTGATGTCAGGGTGTTAGGGGTAAAAAAGAGTAAGCAAAATTTTGTAGATGACATGCCCTTGTACCTCATGTTCTGCCTCAAATGGGGGCAATCTACACACAGCCATCCAGTATAATCTTTGGTCTTCCCGAGGTTCACTCCCACAGTTATTACTATGACCAGCACTGAAATGTAAAATTCAATATTCAATTATCCCACAACAATACTGGTTCTGCCATGACTAAGTAGATAAAAGTAAACAATTGTACATCTTGGTTAGTAGATACAAAGAATTAATCTCCAACAAGGGATATAACGTCATTCCTTCAAAAAAGATTGCATGCCAGACTTTCCAAATTACTTAATTATCTGAGGTAACTCTGGAATTGAAATACAAATTGAAATAATTCCCATATTTTGAAGAGAAAGGTAGTACTGGTATTACAAATTCCCATATTTTGGGAACTAAATATTCTATTCAGGACATGCAAATATCTTCATTAGAGGTCACTAATTGCTTTTAGCTTGTGTTGTCTTTTGAAAATCTTTCTCTTAAAACTCTTACAGTAAAAAAAGGAGGACCAGAAGATTACAATCAGGCTTGCTTAAGCTTCCCCCTGCATCTTGAGTCATCTCCTTTTGATAATTTACATCTTAGTAGATGTTACAATTATAATAACAATTATAGTAATTATAACAATTATAATAATATTATAATAATAACAATAACAATTATAAGATCAACACATCTGCTGTACATACTTATCAGCACTGTTCGACTTCACTTTGGAGTCTTTACTTTGAGGAGACGGTACTACACACAAGTTATTTAATCTGTTGTCTGCGATAAAACAAAACAGTGAAGATAGAGTCAGTTAATATCAGTTATGTGAAAGCTGTTCAAATTGTTCCAATGCATGATAGGCAATGATGTGATAACAGACAATCATTTAAGAAGTGAAACATGTATTAAATATGCAGCAAATGCATTTTAATACAAAATAACTTTGCCATTTTGTAAGCTCTGTGTACAAAGTGCAGTGGATATACAAACTCCTTGTCTGAAAGTATGAGGTCTGAGCCCTGGCTGCATCAACAAAACCAAAAATGGATCTGCACAGACCTGCTCAGATTCATTCAATAATGGCCAGTGTCACAACTGAACCAGGATGAGTCACAAGAGATGTTACAAGTGTCTCTTGATAGTCAGCCATTTTGGAAGGGGAGGGTGTTAAGGACTTACACAACATCATAACATCTCTAGGGCCTATTGTTTCTTTATGTTTGTAAAATGTTACAATAACTAACTACTCTCTGAATTAACTCAAATTTGTTTTTTAACTTTAAAAAATTCCTTCAAATCTCAGAGTTTTGTCTTGGAAATGTTTTTTCAAAAGTTCTGATAAAACTTACCGACTGTTACACCATTTTTGTGACAAACACTAAAGCCAGGTGCTATGCCACCACAATGTCTTTCCCTACCGTGGAACAACAACAAAGGTATTGAAAGAAAAAATAAGTGTTTACAGAAGATAAATGAATGAAATGATTCTGTTCATACAAACTCCACCCTGAGCTCTGCATCCTGTTTAATCAGACAATGCATAAAAAATCCATTCTAAATTCCTCAATGACTTTCCATTACATTCAACATGGTTTAGAATTCTATTGGTTATGATGTTACCTTCTTTAAATTCATACATTCATGGACCTCAAAAGTGCACATTTTATTGCTATAATTATATTATCATTAATTCACATGTCAATTAAACTTTACTTGTACCCGTCCGATAAAATATATTATGTAATCTCTAGATCACATTTATAAATTATTTGTTATTACTCTTCATTAGCTTTTATCATTAACAGTTCCTACTTTTTAGCAAATGAAACACTTGTATAATGAGCCTTGGGCTTGGTAGATTGGAGACCACTCCCCATGTATTGGATGTTAAATAAATTACCTTATCTCATCTTATCCTACTTATCAGAGAAATACTATCAAAATTATGAACCTTTAATATACACAGTTGTTATCAAATTGTCATGATTATCTCTACAGAGTCCTGTGCACAACAGTAACAGGTATGTATCACCCTACCACAGTACCAGGGGTTTCATTACATTTTTTCAGCAGGAGGGCAACTGGTTTTCACAGGCAGGCAAAACTTTTTTTAATTGAACTTCTTTAGAAGATAAACTTTCCTCCAGAGCATCAAACCAGGTGGGCAAAACCGTCCTCACAACTGGCCAATTTGCCCAGTGTGAGGCCCTAATTGAAACCCCTGCTGTATTTCCTCTACTGTAGACAACTGAGATTTCACTTGTTTATCTGAGGCAGGGCTTGACACTAAGAGTAGCCCACTAGCTCCAGACTAGTAGAAATTCAGTTTTGGCTAGTGGTTTTCAATTTCTACTAGCCAGTAGACAAATGTCCTGCTTCTAAATTGATTAAAAGTTTGTTAAGAGTGAGTTAACTTTATTGAACAAAAAAGGCATGACTCAATTCTGTTTAAGATTGTTGTGCTGATCTAGTTTATTAGGGCTAGCCAGGGAGGCAACAAAACAATTCCTCACCAAATATATTCATGAAAATAGCATCCACTTGTTCCTTCTCTTGACAAGTCAAATGCATATGCAAAGATGTTAGCACCATTACCATCTTTATTGACATCAACTTTTGCCTGATGAAACAATACAAAGCTTTTACAGTAAATCCACAAACTATAAACAGGGAAAAGGAATCCATAAAGCATAAATCAAGTGCAATGACAGGATGCTATATATAATTTTCGATGCAAATCAAGTACATATTATATTAATAAGTCACTTTTCCAAGACACCTTGCAGGTACATGCACATCTTCAAATAAGCAGTTTGGCTTTATATGACTATGTTTTGTATACCAGTTACACCACAAAACAGTAATGTGACCTATTATGTCTTTCAGTTATATATATCTCTCTGTGCGTCCTGCTAAGTTCGAAAGTTTGTTGTATTTGAAGTCTTCCCCTCTATTTGCATCCAGAGATAAAATTAATATCATAATAATCTTGTTTTCTTGGTCACTACTGAAGTCACGGACCCTTGTTTTTTACCGCTTGGATTTATGGTCTGCATGTTTTGCCTTTGGGCTATAAATGCAAGCTGATAGATAGAGAGATAGTCTTTATTTTAAAACGATGAGTGTTAAAGCTACATGAGCTTGTGGGGTCGTTTGTAATTAACTAATCACTAAATGTACTAAAAACTAAAACCTAGGGGTACGTAGAGAACGTCTAAACTTAAACCAGTGGTGCTTACGAATGTGGAATTGTAAACATAAATTTAAATATATACAAAGTCATCTTTTTTAAAATTACAAGTGGATGCAGATGTTATCTCAAAACTGAATTCAATAAAATTAACTAAAGATTTGAGCTTTAGCCTGAGGTCACGATATGAAATATTTTTTGTCAGGGCACTACAATTGTTGGTCACTGCATTCCACAGGACCGAGCCTCTAAACGCGACAGAGTCTTTCATGTAGCGCGTGTTAAAGCATGGAACAATTAAGGAAGCCCAAGCCCGAGTTGAATAATTTGTGGCCCATTTCTTAAAAATCAGATTGATTAGTATAGCAGGTAACCTATCAAGGAAAGCTTCATGAAAACAGATAAAAATGTCTGATTTATAATAAATAGACAGAGTTGGCCATTGGGCCCGTTGTAGGACATCAGCAGATGCCATGTCTTTCGGCAAATTAAAAATAAGTCTCGCAGCCCTACAATGAAGTCTTTCCAGGGTCTGAAATAAGTCGGAATTGCAGCAAGATCCTTACAGTATAAGACCATAAGCCACTGAACATTCCTAGGGAGAAATCTTGACTTCTTAATAAGTAATCCTAGTCTTTTAGCAAATGATGTTTTAAGTTCCAGCACATGCGGAGTCCAGGTCAGTTTCTCATCAATGGTCATTCCAAGTAATTGTGATTTCGATACCCATTCAATTGTAGAGTTTCCAATGAAGATTGGAGGGATGTTATCCGGAGCTGAAAAGTGAGGTCAATAACTTAAAGTGCAGACCTTGGACTTGGTTAGTAAGAGGTATAAAATTCAAAATGCCTGTGGTATCAATTTGATTTTTCAGTGTGGCAGTGCTTCCCTCTGGCTTGCCTTGGGTGGTCAACTCAATTTCACGTATGTATCTCACTAAAAGCTGGCTGCTCATGCTGAGTACCTTACTGGCAATGTGAGCAACTTGTAATGATTAGCACATTTGTCACATCCTCAAAAAAATGCTCGCTACAAAAGTGTAAATAAAGTCATCAATTCAAAGATTGAAAGAAAAAAAAAATTGTTGTAATAATTAGACATTTATACTATTGTACCAAAAAGCTGAGGTGGCTCTGAATGGAAAGTATAAAATTTCTTAAAACTTTGTAGAAGATGGCATTTTGATATGCTGATTACAATTCTAGAAAAATGGTGGTCATCAAACTCATTTTGAGTAACAGACTGTATAATTATATGGAGAGCTAACATTAAAGGCATTTCTAAGATACTGTTTTGTTACCATGGTAACCTTACATGTCAAAAAATTATTCAGAGTACATACAAATAATTGGGCTTTTTTTACTTTGTTTTCAAGGAAACAGACAAATATTTGTTTGATTCAACCATCCATAAAAGAATTGGTGTTCAAAAATAACAAAACCATTTTGAGCCCACCCTAACAATTCTACCTTTAACAAACTGTATAATTTACAAATGATTCACCATAGCAATTTGTTGTCAATGGTTTATAAAACATAATTTTGAGTAAACCCCACATTGGCAACCCAAACAAATTGATAAACACCAGAGGGTGTTATTGAGTAGGTGTGAGAAGAGAAAATAATATTGATATCACTTACCTCAAATCTAAACTTTTTAACTAGATGAACATCTTTTTCATCAAGAAGAGAATATTTATGCTGAAAAGGAAGGAAAGAAAAGAAATAGAGAGTGAGACAAAAAATTTAAATGATGTAAAAGCATGAAGAATTTTGTTAATAGTTAACAAAAGGTAATTGACTTCCTGTCATAGCACTAAATAACAAAACACTCAAAGCATTAGATGAGGGGATGAAGAACTGAGCAATGAAAAATGTTCTGTTCTAGAGAAATGGTCTTGAGATTGGATTTGTACCCACCACCAAAGACTAAACCACAAAGGAGTAAACTAGGTGAATTATTCTGCTCTTTGGATATTTTAGAACAACATCTTTACTCTCTTGATGCCTTGGGCTATTAAAATTTACAACAAGCTTTGTATCCTATCAGTAGTTGTCATTAGCTTTAACGTAATACACAACTCCAAGAGCTATGAAATTTCATTTACATTGCAATAACTTAAACTACTACTCCCTTTGTTGGAGTCTACTACTCTCTCTTATCAGGCTGATTTCCAATACATGAAGATCGAAAGTGGGAGCCACAAAACTGATAATGATTATTCATGGCTGCAATGAGAAACTAAGAGATTCCTCAGCGGAAACTCTCCCCAGAAGATGTCCCTGAATGCTGTAAATTCTTCCTCTAAGCCTTTCGAGCGCTGTAAATCTTAGACGAGACTTCACCTACATTTGAGATTTTGATTATTGAGCTGAAAAGGGCTCCTCTTTCACCTGTATGTCACTCTAAACTGTACATCGATTTATTTCCAACTAATTCTCCTCAGAATGAATTACTAGATATTCAGATTCTTTAACATTAGCCGAACTCTGCACATGAAAAATCAAACAAGTGGACTACTTACGAGACGACTGAAAAAACTGATCATAAGAACATAAAAAAATAAACTTCCAGGACTACAAATTGACTCAGTTCTTGATCCGATCAGATACTGAGGTAAGTAAATGAAACCAGTCGACACTTTCCGCACTAACCTTGCCACCAGCCTTGCCAATGTACACAATCCCTAGCTTTTGTCCTGCTTGCATTATTCCATAGAATGGGGTTTCCCACACCGAAATAGAAATCCCTACAACAAGACTGACATGGCGAATTCGAAGTTCTGCGCTTCACACCGCCACCTTGATCAGCGGTGCCGTTTTCAGCTTGGTAACCACGCTATCTCAAATGTAACTTGGCCCCGTGGAGAGTTTCAAAGCTGACGTTTCGAGCGTTAAGCCCTTCGTCAGCGTGGGTTGAGTGTGTTTAGATCCAGAAAATGAAACTACACTATTGGTGGGAACATTGTGACAAGGAAAACAAAAATAAATTAGTTGAATGAAAAGAGTGGGGATTGGGAGTGCCGATTTGAAGGATAAATTTAATTTTCTAAAGTTTTGCCTAAATGTAAGTAAACACCGCAAACCGCCATATGCTGTTTAGAATGATTAGGCAGATTAAAGTGTCGAGCGACTGGTATGCATGCATCTTTGTCATTTCTTTTAACGTCGCGAAGGTGTTCTCAGAATCGGTCATCTAGCCAGTCGTCTTCCTGTTTCACCAATATATATATCAATTTGCAATAAGTGCACGTTATGCAGTAGATCGCCATTGATGGAGGTGCAAGTGAAGTGATCAGTAGTCTTAATCAGGAGCCCATTCCTGTCTTAATCGATCGTTTGGGTCCTGATATTTTATCAAAGTTATGAATGAAAGGACAAGTTTTACATCGTGCGCTTGCTGGGTTTGTCATTAGTTTTTTGTTAACCTCTGACTAGAAAGTTGCCTAATTTTTTTTTTGGTCCGGCGCATTTGAATTAAATAAGTGGAAGTTGCGGAAAGGACAATACCTGTCTCTGAATCGTTGTGAAGTAATTTAAAGAATGATGAATTTAGTCGCATGATTGTGAGGGTGAAATATGAGAGTGAATGGAAAGCGGTCGGTATTTTCCTTGTGACCATGAGTGCTGACTGTCGATCGATCAATTTGTTGGGCGCGGTGGTGTCCCGCTTGAACGACAGAAACAGGATGGTCACGTTTTTTCAAAAACTGGCACATTGCCTCTGATTTGTCGGGAAAAAAAATCGAAGTCATCGCTACAGTTTTTATTCCTGATATTCGCGATTTTTTTAAAAGTCCTTTGACTTTAGAGAGTTGTTGTCAAAAGGAAAAAAAACTTAGGCTGATTTTGGCTCGAAGTTTTTATTAAAATTAAACTAAAAGAAAGAATTTGAAAACAATGCAACGCTTCCATTTTGTTCGGAAACGTTTTCCCGAAAAGCAACAAATTTCAACCTTTTCATACTCCATGATCTCTAAAGGGTTGTACGTTACTGACTTTGAAAATGAGAAACCTGGCCGCAGTACAAGAAAAAAAATCATTTGACCTTGTTTATATTCCCTGGCTGAGCTGTGACATAAAAGACGTTGATGGTCTCTTTGTTACAGGGTTAATAATGGTATTCGATCAGATGGAAAGCTCCTAGTTCGAACAGTACACGGAAACTCTTCCATTGATATGAATCCTCCTCTAGCCACAAAACGTTCATGGTTGTCTTAGACTTAACAGCTGGGTTCTGGGTATATGTGCAGTGAGAAGTTTGAGAGAAAACTTTTTCCTCCTTGAGTTACTTTTGGAGCTCGATGGCACCGCCTAATAGGAGGCAGAGGAACAGTTTCGGTTACAAGTTTATCCCTTAGGGATTACAAAAATGTCTATAACATTACAGATGCCAAGCAGAACATGTTCAGTCAGTTCATGAACACTTTTTCTTCCATAAAATGCCTTCTCAGCATGAGAATAAAAACTGTAGTACAAAGGAAAAAAAGAGAAAAAAAACCGCACAATTTATGAGAGTGAAAGTGATTTCCATACTAAGTATATGGTAAAATCAACATACGATGAACATATTGATGTTTGTGACTTAACTGAACACTGGCAATATTGCAATGTTGACGTAAGATTTTCTCAATGACAATCGTCAAAATTTCGGTGAATCATAGCACTAATTACACAAAAGGAAAAAAATAATTGTTTAAACGATTGCATTTAGAGATGACGATAAAAATGAACGGTAAAACATGACGTTTCGACCGTGCTTCGGTCATTGTCAAGTGAATGGAATGAAATACAGTAAATATATGTATATATACACGTACGAAATATAAAAAGGTTTTTGCAGGTGTAAACAAACAATAAAACTACAAAGAAAGTGCTAGTAAAAAGCTAATTAAAAACCTTAGCACGAATTGAATCAGACTGTACATTGAGAGCAGGTCTTAACTTGTGAATAAAAAACATCTCATAGACGAGACAGTCAAATTTGTTCGTGCACTTCATTAAGGTGCTAAAGTTCTTTCTAAGATCCTTTGGAGTCAAAGAATGTTTGTCGCGAAAATTTTTGCCAATTGACGAAGAGGAGTTTTTATGTTCTTCAATACGTTGGTGTAGATGACGGCGTGTGAAACCAACATAACCTGCATCGCACAGGTCACATTGAAATTTGTAAACAAGGCACTGTTGGTTCAAAATCGGCGGCTTAGCTTCTCGCAATTTGAGGTCTGAAAGCCCACTCACGCCCCCTCTGTCCTCTGTCCCTTGGCGAGAGAGTCGTCTTGCAGAATCAACAAGGCCCCAACCCCACCAAATGGGACCGGTCAGGGATAGTGGTGGAATCAGCCGGCCATGACCAATATCGTGTCAAGGTGGACGGCTCTGGGCGAATCACACTACGCAACCGCTGCTTCCTGCGAGCCTATACACCAGCTACGCCCTCTATCCGTCCACCACCGCCACCTGCCCACCAGCCCACCAGCAGTGCTGACCAGTGCCCACACCCACAGCCCCCTGTGCCCCCACAACCTAATGCTGAGTCTAAGCGCACCACTGAAGCAAAGCTCAACGTACCAACTGCGGTCCTCGACCCAGCACCGATGTAGCCCCTCGCCCCGGCACAGGATAACAGCCCCGTTCCCGACATACAGTCTCGAGACCCCCAGTTACCAGTAGCGGCTGATGAGGATTCCACAACGCCCATTACGCCACCTCAACTGCCGCCCGAACCAGCTACACGTCCTCGCCGCTTAACACGACCGCCCAAACGGTACGAACCCGAAACAGGACAATGGGTCACTTGAGTCCTACAACCGAAGCTATACGTTGTACCGTTCTCGGTTCTCGGACTGGGGGGGACGAAGGGACTACCGCTGGCCACATACTGAGGACTCGTTAGGACCACTCACCTGTGCTAGTCAGCCAGATTGTTTCGGACACTCGAACTCATGAACATCAACAAATATCTTGCGAATTTAACTTATCATCGTAAGTCTATTATATTGTGTTTCGTTTAGCTTTATAGTTCGCGTTACTTAGTGTATGGATATTGTGATTTATCCTGTAGATCTGTTTCATCGTTGTGATTAAACCAAATCAATCGAGGAGTTCGCTTCAAAGTTGATCAAGACAAATGTCGCAAATGGAAACATTCTTCTGGGACCTTCTCTAAGAATGTTCTTGCTGAAGAACTTCGCCAGAAGAGACGCCTCAGCGTGTCACTCAAATCGGAGACTAATTCAATCTACGACGATATACGTCAAACATGTAGCTTCTTTCGCTACTCTTGCATTCTGAGAACGATGACTGAACTCCGCAAGAAATACTATCACGAAGTGTTGGATATTCACACCAGGAAAATATCACGATTAATATCAAGACATGAGGATGTCGACGAACACATTATTAACATCTCTTCGTACAAACTCTCTTTTTTCCAAAAACTTGTGCTCTGTCGTGGTTTGAATTTTGCCATCCCTAAAAACGTGTCCTCGATTGATGTTAAGGCCAGCTTTGAGAAAGCCTATTGGAAGCTCGAGCCACGCTTACCGGAAGAATTTCGTGACCTTGCAGCCTCTACTCTACGCTCAGTGGCGCTGAATTATATTCACCGAAAAGGCCCTAAACCTCCACAAACACTCCTGAAAGGCATTCATCAATTGAAGAGGCGAGAGGAAATAGTCGTAACAAAACCTGACAAGGGATCTGGCGTCGTGGTCTTAGACAAGGATGAATACCTACGGTTACTTGCTGACGCATCCATAAACAATGCCACCAAATTTAGGATAGTAGAGCCTGAGAGACCAAAGCGTAGAGGTAGACCACCGAAACACGATCACCCCCTATTGCAAAAGGAGAAGGAGCTAGAATCACAAATGGCTAGATGACAAACTAAAACCTCTCGCCACAAATCAGTATATGATAAGCGACACCTTTGAGTTCGTGAACGAGATCCACGAAATGGTTATTAACAGTGGAGATATTCTGGTTTCCTATGATGTTTCTTCATTATTTACCAACGTACCCTTGGAGGAGACCATACAACTACTCGCCGATAAGGCTTTCATTAATAATTGGTTCAATGAAACATACCATCTTAACCTCAATAAGCTGGATCTTGTCGATCTTCTTAGAGCGGCAACTAAGGACCAACTTTTCACGTTTAACGGCCGGCTATATGAACAGATCGACGGAGTTGCTATGGGCTCCCCCCTTGGTCCTCTGTTAGCCAACGCTTTAATGTGCAGCATCGAAGAAACCCTGGAGCGTGAAGGCAAGATGCCCACGTACTACAAGAGATTTGTCGATGACACATTGACCATTATGCCGAACAAAGCATCAGCAGACAATTTCCTCGACATTTTAAACCAGTGCTATTCCTCTATTAAGTTTACCATGGAGCCGGAGAGTAACAGCATGCTCCCTTTTTTGCCGGGCACCCAGCTGCTCAACAAACGTACACATGTTGAGACCAAGGTGTACGTCAAACCTACAAATACGGACCTTTTACTACATTACAAGAGCCATGTAGATGATCGTTACAAACGTGGGTTATTAAAAACTATGCTTGATCGTGCATCTCGACTTTCATCTAATTGGCGTTATTTCTCTGAAGAATGCGATCGACTTAAATCAGTATTTTCTCGTTTGAAATATCCTGATAATCTAGTCAATTCTACCATTTCACGGTTTGTTGCCGCCAAAGTATCTGATCAACCAGTTTCCTTACCTGCTGTCAGCGATCGATCGGACCCCATTCGCGTTGTCCTACCGTATAAGGATCAGGCATCCACTGATATTGTTCGTGCCCAACTTAAAGATCTAAGTCATAGGATCCAGACGACCTTACAACCTGTATTTGTTAGCCAGAAGATTGGTCGAGACCTCAAATTGCGAGAAGCTAAGCCGCCGATTTTGAACCAACAGTGCCTTGTTTACAAATTTCAATGTGACCTGTGCGATGCAGGTTATGTTGGTTTCACACGCCGTCATCTACACCAACGTATTGAAGAACATAAAAACTCCTCTTCGTCAATTGGCAAAAATTTTCGCGACAAACATTTTTTGACTCCAGAGGATCTTGGAAAGAACTTTAGCACCTTAATGAAGTGCACGAACATTTGACTGTCTCGTCTATGAGATGTTTTTTATTCACAAGTTAAGACCTGCTCTCAAAGTACAGTCTGATTCAATTCGTGCTAAGGTTTTTAATTAGCTTTTTACTAGCAATTTCTTTGTAGTTTTGTTTGTTTACACCTGCAAAAACTTTTTTATATTTCGTACGTGTATATATATATATATATACATTTACTGTATTTCATTCCATTCACTTGACAATGACCGAAGCACGGTCGAAACGTCATGTTTTACCGTTGATTTTTATCGTCAAAAGTTTTAAGAAACCCTTGCTCATTTAGAGATGAATTCAAAATACATTTCTTGATTCTTTAAAGGTAACCTGGATATGCTGTCTGTTATGTAGTTAGAAGAGGTTTTCCTTCTTACCAGTTCAAACGCTACCGATAACAGATATAATCGAACCCTTTCCCTACGGCCACTTTAAAAGCAGAAGAAAATGCGGGATGTTGAAGAAAACTGGCCGTAAAAGAGAAATGAGAATTTTTTCTTAGCAAGGAATGATCGAGATCGACATACTCAACGAGAAAATAGTGGAGGTTCGAATGTTCGATTGCCAAGGTAATAAAATATCTTTGCTTGCATTCTTTTATTTCTATGAAGTCCAATTAAAATCTACGGGGTGTCTACCTAATACATCACAGGAAATCGATATAATATCATAAACTAAGAAACAAGAACTAACACTCTCTAGGAGCTAGCAAACTAAAGTCAAAGAAGAATAAGGACACATAAGCCCCAAGGAGCGACTCGCCACGCAGTCTAGCTAAAACTAGCGTAATATCATTATCTATCCTAAATATAAGGCAGAGTATTTTTAAGAGCAAACGCTTAGTACTCTTACATAAACTATTAGGCCCTCACCATTAAAACCTAGGCTTGGGGTGAGAAAGAACACTTTTCGAGAGCATGCACGAAAGGCAGGAGCAAAGAAGAGGAAACAGGGAGGCAGACCAACATCGAATCAGTTATTGGGGACTTGGTCTTCTATTGCTTCGAAGGGGAAGTCCTTCCTCGCCTAGTTCATTTCCATTGGGGGTGGTGTTTTCGTTCCTACCAGTCTCAGCCAATGCAGCAGCCACCGCGGTAGCCGCGGCCGCAGCTGCACTAGCTGAGTTGCATGCAGCTGTAGTTGCTGCCACAATTGCAGAATGAATTCCAGTCCCATCAGGCTGAAGTTCGGTTATTTTTGCGGCCAGTTCCTTCGCTGCATCTGCTGCCTTATTCGCAGCTTCAATGCACTGTGAACTATTAGAGGAAACTTTGCGAGATTTGAAGGACAGCCACGACACAGCACCGATAACAGACAAAAACGCTGTTTTAAGAATATCATCTGCAGTTTCCCGACCATAAAATGACTGTCCAACTAATACTGGAGGAACGAAAATAAAGCAGAGACCGAGGAAGCCAGGTGTAAATGCGGAAAAGGTGGAAAGGCAGGAGTAACTTGCGTGGGCTATTTCACTGATAACGAAAAATAAGGTAATGAAAAAAAAGGAGAATCCCAACAAAATAGACACGCCCCAAGCTGGATTAATCATGATACCTATTGCAACCCAGCTCAAATGGTAACTAACCAGGCTTGTGCACACGATGAGCATTAATCTGCTACAAAATGAACTAATATCCAAATCTTTGAAACAAAGGCAATTAGAGGAGCATATTATTAACCATTCTGGTATAAACACAACGAGCACAATAAAGTCTCGCGACATATTTCCTCTTTTTGAAATCTCGATGGATGTTCGCTCGCAAACTAAGACAAATATAACCTCTATCAGCAACAGAAAAGAACAAAATACAGTGACTGAACGTATTAGTGGTTTTTCCTTTTTACAACAAATATAATCTATCCTACAACGATTTTCATCGCTATCTAAGAGTGATTTACTTTGAGTGTCATCTTTCATGCATTGTAAGACCCAAAAATATAAAAATGGACCAAACATCAAGGGACACAGGAGAGAAAACCACAAAACTACCCTTGTATAAGAACGTCCTGAAGCCTTCATGTCTAGGATATGCCCTTCTATGACAGATTCTGCAAAATTCAACCGTGGATCTCGCAAGCCTGGAAGAACAGCGAGGTCTTGAAGCTGCAAAAGAATTATACATCAGATGTGATTATAAGAGTGGAGCATGTAGAGTAAAGAACCGTCTTCGGTGATATAAGAAGTATTCTACTCAAGCAGTAATGGAAATAGACGGCGGTTTCGACAACCTGAGCGGAAGTCATCATTTCTGATCTTTATTTCTGGCCTTTACCACTCAGTAAATCAGACGTTGTAAAGTACCACTTGTTTTGCCATAGGCAGAAATGTTATGTTATTTGAAAGCTCGGAGGTCCGTTAGCCTAATACTCCGACGGTCCGAGGCCCCCTCGTTCCAATTACCCTTCCCCTCTTTCCGTCTGGTATACGTTGACTAGAGGCTTGCTACTGACATCATCGATACTGTATGTTAATGGCCAATTATATCACTCGTGCGAACTGACTCAAGAAGCTGAAAAATAAAGATTTCCACGAGGGTCGACAAAGGAATTTCATTCATGGAAATTTGACGGGATTTCCTAACACGCCTAAAAAGCTACCCTTTGGCAATCCGACGCGGTGAAATGCCAAAGAAATGAAACTCCGAAATGTTAAAATAATGATGATTACTGCTAATTCACGAAAATACTTCAAGACAATTCGAAGAAACGTTAGCATTACCCTTGAGCAGAGAAAGGAAAATATTTGATCAAGTTTTGACAAACCCTGAGTGAACACAAACAACTGAAAAAGCATAAAAAAAACTAACCAAGGCTGTAAAAATTTTAGTTTTAGCTACTTATTATAATTGAACCTCTACTCACAGAAAAAAAAATTGTCGAATACTTGTGAAAAAAATTACTTCGTGGCTGGTAATACGCAGCATTTCGTCCTGTATATGTGAAATAACTAATAGAGATACTTACCGAAGCCAGTACATTTTTAATCATTTTTTCCCTGTCTTCTTCTGAAACATTGCAGCAAAAGGGTGGAATTGTAATGTTTAGATGTTTCGTCCGTGGAGTCACCAGTATCGAGAAGAGAGATGAGATCTCAAGGAAAAGTGGAGGAAAAGCGGCATACAGGCTTCTTAAACTCCATGTGTACTTCTTTACACCAGGCGTGGAATTGTCGCAAGCTTTATCTGATCCATTCTGACCACATAGGTTGACGAAGACAAGAACTGAGGAAGGCTCATTGGCCGGATATAAGGCGGATTCGATGTTGAAACTGCTCTCATCTGATGCTAAGGAATTGTAAATGTCAGCATAGGTTCCAATACACGTAGCGACGTTGGCACACTCACTTGTTACATCTGCTCTGGTGCAAATAACAAGGAAGCTGATCAAATTAATTGCAACGTGGACAATACTTGAGGTCTGTTTTGTCACAAACGCCATCTTCCCTCTGATTGTTGATTTCAGGGTTTTCCTATACCAAAAGAGTTAAAATTAAATTGGATTGAAACACTTTTGTAAAGTTAGAGAAATAGAGCGGGTAGTGTATTTCCTTCAAGTTTAATCATCTTTCACCGATACTTGGACAAATAATTGTTTTCGTGTATACTACATGGGAGGGGGAGTCATGCAAAGTATAATTACCGATGAACAGAGCGTTGATTGAAGGAATCAGATAGATTTTCTCCTGACGCAACCACAATCCCCCTCCCCCCCCCACTCCCTCACGCACACTGATGAATTATGACCGGTCACTCGTGGATACGTCGAATGCAAATCGACTGCAAATGAGTCAAAGCTCGAGGGAGATCGACAGGCTCCGGAGTTGCCGTAAGTTTGAAGGAACAAATGAGCAGAAATAAAAGCAAATTTTTTTTAAATTAATTCTATTAATAAAGTGTAAATTTTAATAAAAAATACGAAGTCGAGTCACTATGAAATAAATACAGGAGGTAAGTTTCTAACGAAACTTAGGTTCTAAGTCGGTTGGGGGGAGTACGCGTAGATTATTTGATATTATCAACTGAGTTCATAGAGAGTTTCTAATCTGACGTCTGGAGCGCTAGCCTTTCGTTCTGACGAAGAGCTAACGCTTGAAATGTCAGAAACTCTTTACGGTGGCCAATTTATATTATCAAAGCCACTGAACTGTCCACCCAGCAGTGTATACTTCTTACAGGAAGCCCATCCAGAGCGTCTCTCACATTGTCAACAGTGTTCACAGCCATGTGACCAGCGACCAGTTCCAACCGCGGGATGGTCAGACCTTTTTGGACAATCTCGATCTGGCTGCAATTAGGCCCCGGTTTGTTCCGGATGCTTGTTGAATGGCTGCATAAACACAGGCTGCGACTCCATTCGCGCACGCGTCTCCAAACGAATGTAGATCGATTTGCTCGATTTCCTCTCTATGAACAGCTAGCGATCTTGGTATGGTAAAACGTTCTGGTAGTCTGCTTTCCCACTTAACCCACAGCTTGGCAAGGTCACGTGATAGGTCTGCGTCCCAGGCTCCCTTCATATCACAAACTGCACGGTATATGAGTTTGCCACTAAGTGGCTCGGACGAGACAAGTCCCAGGGGATCAGATATCTTAGCTAGCTTAGCTAAGATACCTCTCTTAGTCAGCGTTGCTTTCTCTGGTGGGACTGTGATGCTAAGAGAGTCTTTTTCTTTGTTCCACGGGAGCCCAAGAATACTAGAAAATGTTCCTTGTGGGACTCCTAACTGCTGTTTGGCGTAGGTTGGTTCTCCTTCTTCTTTAGAAGACTGCTCTAATTCCAGCTAGGGGACGTTTGAGTGCCATTTATGGAGGTTGAAACAAGCGTCTTGGAAGATTGTCGTGGTCTTATCTTTTAGTTTTCAAGTCTTGCATACTGTAGTTGATCCCGAGATTAAGTCGTCAACGTACAGTTCTTTGCGAATCTTGGCTACCAGTTCCGGCTCTCTCTCCTCCCAATTGTTAAGGTGCATCTCGATCACTCCCCCAAGCAAAAAGAGAGATGGCGCAAGTCCAAATAGTGCTCTGGTAAATCGCAAGGTCTCCAATGGGGATTGTTCGTCCCGGCGCCAGTAAAAGCGCATTGCGTCGTGGTCAGTCTCTCTTACTCTCACTTGTAGAAATGCTTCCTGTAAATCGCCAGTAATGGCCACAGGATTAAAGCGCTCTCTAACTAGCACGCTCCAGAGTTTATTCTGCAGGGGCGGGCCAGTATGCAAACAGTCGTTTAGCGACGGAGAGCCGCTGGAGGCTCTTGCTGAGTCGTCGTACACAATTCGCAGTTTTGTTGATTCTGCTGTGGCTCTCACGACAGGTTTGTGTGGTATGTAGAACTATCTGCCATTGACAGATGACTCGTCTGCTCTCTCGACAACTCCTTCTTTCTTCTGATCTTCAATTATCTCTGCATATTGATTTGTTGATTCCTGACGCTCAAGCTTCTTGTTTAGACTTGCTAATCGTCGTAGCCCTCCGTCCCTATTGTTTGGTAACACAGGATGATTTCCTCGCCAAGGTAAACCAGTCTCATACCAGCCCTCCTTATGTCGTACAAGTTGCTCCTTAAATTCGGCATACACGCTGCCCTGGTCGTTAGGGGGTGTGTCCGATAAGCCAAGTACATCCAGACGACAAAGTTCCTCGTAGTCCACATGTGATGTTTGAGTCAACAGAACGTTTGTTACGTCTAGAGGCTCTTTTCCTGGAGCTATGACAATCCAGCCAAATTTCGTCAACTCAGCCACAGGCTAACCAGGCTCACCAATCTTCGGTACACTCTCTGTTTTCACTTTAGCGTAGTCACCGGCTCCAAGTATTATGTGGACTGGTAAGCGACTTTTTGTGTCCACATCGTTCATTACAACTCCCGACAAGTGTCGAATAAAATAGTTGTGTTGCATTGAACAAACGTCCTTGAAAGGTTAGTACCTCCTAATCTGTGGCTCATGTCCTGCTATATGTATATTAATACTTGGGCTGAGTGGTGGGTCACGAGTTGTCAAGATGGCCGTTTTCATCGTCTGCGTCTTTTAGTCGAATTTTTCGTTTAGTTCTTCAATTCTGTTTTGTGTTCTGTGTAAATTTCGTTTATTCATAATTATTTTTAGTTTAATTCTGTGTGTATGTGTCTATATGTAAGTGTGTGTGTCCCGACCTTAATATTGTAATTCATTCTATGTAATTTGGCTTCCTAGCCTTGTTAACGTTCTCGTTTTTTAAGGAAGCAAATACACTCTTAATTTTAATTTTGATTTGATGTTAATTTAACCTTTCCAAGAATAAGGGTAAATAAAGTTGTTGTTGTTGTAGTTGTTGTTGTTGTTGTTGTTGTAGTGTGGGTTTCTTGCAATCACTTCTTGATATTTTTGGTTTTCTAGGAAAAGCAGCTCTCCTTTATCCACTTTAGTGACTTCCATAGGCATTGAAAATTTTCGGCTTACATCAGAAATGGTGATAGTGGCCAGCTCTACTTCCCTTGTCGACGCTCCAAGCAACAGCTCTATTTTTCGGACTTCTTTCTTTTGACCAATGCTTAAAATGCGGTCCAAAGGGCTGCCTATGCATATGAACTCCCTGTTCCCGTGTTCAACAAAGCGCGACATTTTATCCCTTCTACCTCAACCACAACAACTCTGTTTCCGCTTGGAATCCCTGTGGCGACGAGGAGTGCATTAGCATTGTTTTCTTGCTTGTGACAAATGGACGTGTGATGTTTGCGATCACAGATCTGACATCTTAATTTGCTCTTACATTCATCAGCGCGATACCTTGTAACGGTGCACAGTCTCTTCTCTGATAGGATTTTCTGCCTCTAATGACCAGGTAAGTGAAACAGTTCCCACTACAAGTATTAATTTAAACGACTTGCACAAACGGATTGAACATTTTAGAGCAGGGCAAGTGAGACACCATCTGCCCTTTTGGGAATCATTAACTAATGACCCAGTTATCTTGGATGCCATAAAGCATCACCATATAGCGTTTGAGGCGGAGTACCCAACACAGACAGTTCAACCTAATAAAATCAATTTCTCAGTTCCTGAAATCATGATTATTGACGCAGAAATTGCTAAGCTTGTTAGCAAAGAAGTTCTTCAGGTTACCAACTGTGTACCTGATGGTTTTACCTCAAATATCTTCATTCGTCCTAAAAAGGATGGTGCTTTCCGGATGATCCTCAATCTGAAACCACTTAATAAGTTTGTCGATTACCACCATTTCAAAATGGACACATTTCATACTGCCCTCATGCTCATCCGACCTGGATGTTTTATGGCATCTGTAGATCTCAAGGATGCCTATTATTCCATTCCCATAGCAGAGGAAGACAGAAAGCTCCTCATGTTTCAATGGAAAGGGAAATACTATCAGTCTACATGCTTACCTAACGGTCTATCATCTGCCCCCAGGATTTTTACTAAAATCCTCAAACCGGTCTATGCCCGATTACGTTCGATTGGCCATACATGTATGGGACATATTGATGACTCCTTACTTGTTGGTCAGAGTTTCGATGCATGTCATAGAAATATAGCAGATACTGTTTGTTTGTTTACTAACCTTGGCTTCACTATCCACCCGGTGAAGTCTGTGCTCCAACCCCAGCAAAAAATAGATTTTTTGGGTTTTGTACTGGACAGTAGCACTATGACAGTAAACCTCACAGATGCCAAAGCCATGAAGGTCAGATCTGCTTGTCAAAACTTGCTGCTCCAAAAAACAGCTACTATACGCAGTGTCGCACAGGTCATAGGCTTCCTTGTTTCTCGCTTTCCTGCTGTGGAATTTGCTGAAATGCACTATAGGCATTTGGAGCTTGACAAAATTTGTGCACTCCGTGCCAACAAAGGGAACTTTGACAGCACTATGACCTTGTCTGCCCAGTCTAAGACCGAATTGGCATGGTGGATAGATAATGTCCTAACTACATCTAAACCCATTCACCATGGCAACCCTGACCTCACTCTAGCTACTGATGCCTCAAAATTGGGTTGGGGAGCCGTCTGTGGAGAAACCTCCACAGGGGGATTTTGGAGTCTAGAGGAACAAAGATACCACATAAACTTTCTTGAATTGAAAGCCGTTTTATTGGGTCTAAAATCCCTTTGAGGTGCTTTCAGTGAGAAACACATTTCTCGTTCAGACCGATAACACCACTGCTCTAGCATACATAAATGCAATGGGAGGTATTAAATCAATACCATGCACTGAAATAGCAACCGTTATATGGGACTGGTGTCTAAACCACAACATCTGGCTTAGTGCCACCCATATCTCCGGGTCTGAAAATATTCAAGCTGACAAGGAATCCAGGGCACTCAAAGAGTCTACTGAATGGCCCTTGTCCCAGGAGGTTTTTAATGCTATACAGGAACGGTGGGGCAAGTTTAACATTGACCTGTTTGCCTCTAGACTTAACTTTAAGGTCCCTCAATAGTTTTCATGGAGACCTGACCCTGGGGCACAGTTTATTAACGCTTTTCTCATGAATTGGAAACCTTATTACTTTTATGCTTTCCCACCCTTTAGCCTCCTTGCTACCTGCCTACAGAAGATAGAGCAGGATCAATCAACAGGAATCCTCATTGTGCCAATATGGACAACTCAACCTTAGTTTACACTCCTCTTGCACCTTCTGATCGACAACCCCTTAACACTTCCCCAGACCGACAATCTTCTGTTCCTGTCCCACAGCAATGCAACTCATCCTCTCAGCAGACGGTTGCAATTAATGGCTTGCAAAGTATCAGGGAGTCCTTCCAACATAGAGATATTTCAAGCAAAGCTACCAGCATCATCCTGCAGTAGCGCTATCTACTGAGAGGATCGTGCATCATACGTATCTAATACCACAGTTCAAAAATATATGAACTTCATATATTCATTGTATCTGATTTATCACTTTCACTGGTTTATTACGAATCAACTTAACGGCCTGATCCCAGTTGGCTTGTTAGCTCAATTGGTAGAGCGCTGCACTAGTATTGCAGAGGTCAGTGGTTCGAATCCCGTACAGGCCTGATTTTTTTCAGGTCTGATTTTCGCTATTGCTTAAATAGTGCTACCTACTGCGAGGATCGTGCATCATACGTATCATTCTGCAGTCTTGGTCAACGGGTACCCAAAAACAATATGCCCCATATATCTAGCAATGGCATGACTTTTGCTCTAAATGGGAAGTTAATTCATACAGCCCACCTTTAAATACAGTGCTGGATTTCCTAGTCAGCTTGCATGAACAAGGCTTATCGTACACTACCATAACCAAAGCAAGAAGTGCTCTGTCAGCTATTATTCTTCCCACTGACAATGTCAACCTAGGAAGCCACCCCATTCTTTCCCGCCTCATGAAAGGCATCTTCAAGAACAACCCACCTGCCCCATGTTATCACACTACATAGGATCTTAGCCCAGTCCTTTCTTATTTGTCATCGTTGTCAAAGCCAAATCAATCTAGTCTGAAAACGTTGACTCTGAAGTTAGCGATGCTAATTGCACTTGTTTCAGCACAACGAGGGCAGAGCCCCCATATGCTAGACATCCAGTTCATGAAAGAAGGGGACAGCTTTTTTGAGTTTGCTCTCCCAGAGCACATAAAACAAAGCCAACCGGGATACAAAGTACCATCAGTGCTTTTACAAGCCTTCCCTGCAGACCAATCTCTCTGTGTATTTACCCACCTGAAAGAATATCTGCAGAGGACCAAGTGTTTGAGAGGTACTGAGACAAAGCTCTTAATTAGCCACGCAAAGCCACATCACCGTGCTTGTTGAGATACCATATCAAGGTGGATTCGTTCTGTAATGGCAGAGGCTGGTAGTGATGTCACCACCTTTATGCCTCACAGTACAAGAGCAGCAGCAGCATCGAAAGCTAAAAATGTATCTGTACCAGTGAAGGAAATTTTAGACACTGCTGGCTGGTCTTCAGAAAGGACATTTGATCGCTTCTACAATAAACCTTGTCAAAAGGCTGGTGGTTTCACTACATCTGTACTCACAATTGACTAACTAGAGTTGGACTTTGCTATCCCCCCCCCCCCGTAGTGAGGGTGACTTGAGGGTTGTAATGGTTTAAACACTTTGCTATTTTGCCTACCTGTGTTTGCTTTGTTCCTATTGGGAAATGAACATGTATGTAGGACTTTCCCTATGTTTATGATTAAATTCATATTTTGTTCTATCATTTACTCTTCTCATGTGAATGTCTGGGCTTTAAAGTCTCATGGGATCCCTGTAGCAGTGGTGACAAAATAGAATTAGAAAATTAAACAAGACTTACCTGTAAGTTGAAGTTTGATTGGAATTCTGAGTCACCTACTGCGACAAGGGATCACATGCCCACCCTGGGCTATATTACCCCTCCCTACTGGGTGTTACTTTATCCACACCCTGCTACATTACACATCCAGTCACAACAATGGAGACAACTTGGTTTCCCCATTATATGACATTCATTCGTGCTTTCAAAACTGATGTGCGCATGCGTGTTGCAATCTCATGTGATCCCTTGTCGCAGTAGGTGACTCATAGAATTCCAATCAAACTTCAACTTACAGGTAAGTCTCGTTTGATTTTCTAATTCTTGCTCTTGTTCGAGCACTCTCACTTCGTCTTGTCCTGTCGGAGGTGCCACTTGTTTAGTGAATTGCTTTAATTGTCTGACTAGATGTCTTGATACAAACTTTATTTCAAGCTCAAGGCTAATTATTATCGATACAAAACTTCCATTCCTCGCTCCTTCGACTCGAAAAACACGTGTACACAAACTACTCTCGGCCTGTAATCAATGCTATGTAAATATTAACAGCGTCACACTCTTATTACGTAATCATGTTCTCGACATCCTAAAGTAGTGGAAACAGAAGTGAACCGACAGTTGTTTATTCCATGCATCATCTGCAACTCAATGTTCTCGCTATCATGCTTTAGTTCCAAGTCTTCGTCTCTCTTTAAGCACAGATCACGAAGTGAGTTCTGAAATATCTAAGTTTTTTCCCATCAATGGCAACTGTGGCGAATCCACAGTTGCCATTGACGGGAACTGTGCCCCTGAATGAACCGCTTTTCATTCAGATGTGCCCCTGAATGAAAAGCGGTTCATTCAGGGGTACATCTTGGAGGATGACTTTTTCACATACATACTTCTCAACTAATACATATATATTTGAGCGTATATGAAAGCTAATACCACTAAAATTTTTTTCGTCAAACATCTGACTGGACTAAGTATTAGTTACTTCGTTAATTACTTACCAATCGGTACTCGGTTCCAGCCAGTTCCTGTTAACGAAAGCTGCTTCCACTCTCCTCTTAGACCTAAGCGGAAAGAGAAGCAGTGAGTGATGATTGCTCCTGTTGGCCAAGCACTAAGAATTTTGTCCAATGACAGGGCTGAAAAACCTCTGGGCATGCGTGGCGTGAGCATGTTGATGTTATCGTTGGCGAGTGGTGCGATCGTCAGATCAGCGAAATGTCGGCGTACTTTAAACTGTGTATTCGTGGACATATTTTGCCTTTCAGACTGGAATGTAAGGATGTCCTTTGAAAATAACTTCTGTAAACTGAACTCGTCGACATGTTGAACGTATTACGTTTGGGAAATGTTTATTTGCTTGCTCAAGCGCCAACTTTCAGTACTCGGTGAGGAAACACATTGCAAGCTAATTTCTTTGAGCATAATTTACCTCCATTTTAGATAATAAGCTAAGATTCAAATTGATAGAAGGTAAATAATACCGTGCTTTGGTAATAAATATGAATCTCGAAGAAAAATGGAACTTATATTTTTATCAAGGCGAAGCGAAAGCACACCCATCCTACACGGTGTTACATGAACAAATCGCAAAAACACTGTAAAATATCGCGTTACCCCATGCATATCGCTCTCACTGGAACTTAACATTCGTTACAGTCCGAAGAGTGTACTGGAAATTAGTTATCTCCATATGGTATGAGAGCAGCTCCTATGAATGCTGCCACTCAGCAAAAGCCACATGAAACCCATTGTTCTCGTGGATACATACATACATACATATACATACATATAATTTTTGTTAAGGCAGGTCGGTTTGTGGCAACCCAAAGGCTGGTGTGGACCTGCCAGGAACTAAAAAGGAACTACTTAAATATATGGACAATTCTAAGGAAAAAGTAAAGAAATTTCAAGGACTTAAAAGTATAAAAAATCCGTTTGCTTTGATGTTATCACACAGGCCTCCTTTTCGAATTGAATGCGATCTAATGTCCTTGAGGCCTGTCTAAGTTTTTGTTTAAAAAGCTGTAGAGAGGAAGCATCCTTGATGGCTTTAGGCAGCAAATTCCA